GAACTTGGCAGTGCTAGGTTAACGGTTGGACTTGATGATCTTAAGGGTCTTTTCCAACCTAATGATTCTATAACTTCCCCTCAGATAAAGCCTTCCATTATATTTTCATAACCTCCCAGTCAAAGGCTTTTAAAACCTTTGATATCTGGTGATTGTCATTGCTGAAAGAGATGGAATACCAGCTGGTAGTTTCTAAAGGCCCATACTGCTATGCTTTAGTCCCAGGCCTGCTGCTCTCATGAATTTATGAAAATTTACTCTCTTGCTTTGTTTAACCAATAAACGACTGTATATAGTATTGCTGATCTTAACTAATTTCTGTAAAGAGCTTTCTAATCCTTATGCAGAAAAGAGGCAGGAAATTATAGGCATTAGAGGTACCACTGTGCAGCTTAGCATCACCACACTATATTTTTGCCTCCTGCATTCACTAGCAAAATGAGCAAACCCAAAATCACACAGCGAAGGAGGTGTCTAACAACGCATGTGAAATGTTATGAAGCCTGTCACTGCATTCATGATAACCCAGTTGAGATATCGCTTATCAGCCTGTCACTTGCTACTTTGCTACTTGATTTCTTTTCTATGTTGCTTCTCTTATGCAAAGGAGGTCAATTCCCTTGTACAGACAACTGCCACGTGACCTTTGTGAATCTCAAGTGCGATTCCTCCAAGAAAAAACGCCGAGGTCGCAAGTCACCATCAAAAGAAGTGTCCCATATCACCACAGAGTTTGAAGTGGAGATGAAGTCAGAAGAAGTCTCAGGTTTGTGAAAGATCTGTCTGCGGAGAGAAATCAGAATTCAGTTCCTTGGTGTGTTGTTAGAATCTCTTTTTGCTATTTCATCAAGCTGCCGTGCAAACCTTTTAGCACAAGCCTCATTCAACAGCCTTCCCAAACACAAAGTTTCAGAGTTTTAATTGAAAGGAATCAGGTATGAAATTAAGCCAAAGGAACAAAGATTGAACCTGCAGCAAAATTCCTTCAAAGCCTCAAGTTAAGTCATGTACTTTAATTTAGTCTGATTTCTTTAAACAGCAGAAGTGCTAATTGATGCACAGAGAACGTAAGGATTAGATAGAAGTTCTGCAACAACAACGATAAAAATATCCTCCAAAATGTAAGTTGCTGAAACTTCAGTCTGAGAATCAAACATTTTTATCACACATTTGGTAAATTCATGTTTTCATAACAAACTTCAGGAAGAAGAAGAATTGCTTCAAGTTATTCATGAGATGGAATATTATGCTATAAAATCCAGCCAAAGAAAACATGGGCTGGATTCTATAAACATGTCAGTCCTCAAAGGCAAGTTTCTTAACCTATGAGGGGTACCTCACTAGCCAAGTGATTCAAACAGTAATTGTGCCAGAAAGCACCTTTCTTTGTGTCACTCGTATTTTGGTCAGGAAAGAGAGGAGAATTCCTAATCGACTGAGTAAAGCAGGGGCAGAGAGAATTCAGAAACATTAGTGGTGGCAGACTGAACACGTATCTGGAAATACAACACAGTGGGAAATTCACCATTCCTCTAGCAGTGCACAAAGCACCAGTCACTGCTACTCTGTACAACAGAGTAGAGCATTCTTGCACAGTGCCAACTTGATTTTGCTGGCTAGGTTGATGCTTTCTGCAGCCCTCTCCCTGTGCACTCAGTATAACCAGATTTCTTAATGGTAGACATATCAGTACTCAGTGTGTGCTTATAGGCTGTGAAACTCAATTTGATGGACCTCAGTGTACTGTCTTCTCCCTTTAAAAGGCCTGATTCTGAATACAGTGGGCTGCTTCTACAATTTATATGGGGAAGACAGACAGTGAAGCAAACAGAGGTGTCATAGTGCGATGCAGGCTAAGCTTTTTGTTAAGCACCTCTTTTTAAACATTAATCTCAATTGCTTCTAGTTTTCTTATCATTTCCCATCTAGACACCTGTAACATTGACTGTGTTCGGAAAAGGATGGAGCAGAAGCTGCAAACTGCAATCAAAACATTGAGGAAATCTATTAATAAACAGCAATTTTACATTCAGTTTTCTGGGACAGAATACGAAGTGGCTCAGAAGCCAGCTAAAGCTACTGAAGGGCATGAAGCTTGCAGTACAGGGCAAGTGCTGCAGGATGGAAAATGCGGTAAGTCCCAACAACTCTAGTCAGCCATAGCCCCCAAAACAAGCAATCCAAAATTAACTTGTCCCTAGTGAGCCAGGCAGGAAATCTATGAGATAACAGATGATTTAGATCGATACTACTCAGCAGATGTGCATGGACCACTGACGGTTCATAAGACTTTGAAGGGAGTTTGTTAAATGATTGCAGGAAAACAAAAGCAGCGTATATATGCATCCATTCCCATGCTGTCAGCTGGTATGTATCAAGGCCTGCCACGAGGCAATGTTGGCAATTAGTTCCCAGTTGCTCCCAGCATCTTATGAAAACATAATTACAATTCTGTAAAACAATAAAATGATGTTCACCTAGATGGTGCGTATTTAGTTTTATATTGCCTTTCTCACTCTCCTCACCACCAAATAATCCATGACCCATGGATATATTTATATTTAATACTCAAGAGGTCCAATAAAAAAACCCTATAGAAATCTATTTTAACTTTATGTAAAATACCTAATTTCTTTAAGCCTTTTCCGAGGTTATCAGGCTCTAATGCTTTACTGGGGGCAAGGTGCTAGCACAAACCTATTAATGGCAGTTCTCAGCACTGCAAGCTTCCTAATCACTTAGAGTCATCTTTTCAAAATCAGCATATCTATTTTTCCAGCTTCTTTTAGACACCAAGTAATTTACAAGCAAAAAGAAATAGTTAAGTGCAGATCTGATAGCTGCCTCTAATGAGTTGGTTCAGAAGCTGTTTTCATCATATAGGAACAGTGATTTAGAAACTGTGTTGAAAGACTCTTGCTATTAGCGTCTAGAAACCCATACATTTTAACTACCTATATCCAGCAGAGAAAAACATTTAATGTAGTTATGTGCTTTGTTGCAGCAAGAAAAGCATGTGGATTCATATCTGTATTTAAAACACTTTCCAGTTGGGGTATTTGAGTGTCAAGACAAAATATTACGTAGGATATGTTGCCCTTAGAGAAATCTCTAGAACTGATCTCAGGCGACAGACTTTTTGTAGTCGTCTTCCATAAAACCAACACATAAATGCACCTAGTGTAAACTAAAAGTTCACATCACTTCCCATATGTTATGCACCACTGTCTTAATTAAACTGCAATATACTGTTTTAAGACTGCATCAGCTTTATTAACAACATATGTCTGATAAGCGCTTCAGTGCAGTACAACGCCATTTAATGGCTTAAACAATAGCAGAAGGACCTCACCCTGATGTAAATTGACCTAGACTGCAGTGGAGATGGGCCTGTTTACATCAGGTGAGGATCCTGGACTAACATATGCAAAACATATGCCACTATAATACTGGGGCCAAAGAGATCCATCTTCTCTAAATGTTTGATATAAAGGCAAGTGATGTGATCAAAATGAAAGTCCTTATGTAGATTCCCCTTTTCTTTTCTCAGTTACCTGCAGCACGGGCACCTTTTATAGCGGAGAACACAATCAGTGCGTTCCTTGCTCACCAGGAACATACCAAGACACAGAAGGTCAACTTACCTGTGAGCCTTGCCCAAGTAATGATGGACAGGGAGTAGCAGGCGCCCGGAACGTGTCAGAATGTGGAGGCAAGTTTAATTTGCTTATAAAAGGATTAGGTGTTGCCACACAGCCTGTGAGGCATGGAGGCTAAAAGAGGGGAGAGCCTTCCACACTTCTGTCTTGTAAAGGTAACAGAAGAAATCTCTGTGCACTTACAAGCAATACACAAAATGTTTTGGCTTGTTCCATCCGCTGACATTGCTGACAAGAAGATGGGACCTGCTGCAGCAATGTGAGTTATGGTATGGAAATGAGCAAGCCGAGCAAAGCACTTTGCTTCAAGTCAGGTATGGAATCTGGACATACCTCGACTTGCAAGGACTCGTCAGGTATACTGTGCGTCAAAGGGATGGATTACTTTGGACTGGTATTGGTGAGTCTAATGAACCTGCTGATTTAATGTTTTGCATCAGATGCAGTTTACCTGGTCTAATCGGCAGCAATCATAATTTTGAGATAGTTATGCTGCAGTAATCTGTAACCTGGACTCAGAGCTAATGATTGCAAGTTTCAACGCTGCTTGAATGCACTGTAGCTTTTGGCAAGTGATGTAGCGTCTCTGACTCAACTTCATGATATATAAATTAGATGATAATGATGAAAATACCTGGTTTTCAGAGAGCTGTGAAGTTCAGTTTGTTAATGCTTCAACTGTAGCTTGATCAAGATAAGGTTTTAAGACAACTGTTAATTATTTTCTTTATTTTATTACAGATGAGCAAAATCTAGTTTATAGCAGATACATTATTTGACTTCGAAAGGAATCTGTCCTATCTGCTACACAAGTTCTAACTTTAAAACTCATCCATGTAATTTACATTAATGCTTTCTTCAAGGATATCCAGAGTGAGCACACAATGAATGACACTTGAGAAACTGTCACTTTTTCCCCATCCACTGAATAAAAAAATAACTCTAGTGTCTCCAGTCCAAACATATGGTAGATTTTGCTGATTTACTCTATGAAGGAACTATCACAGAAAAATTCTGGAAATGCTTGTGCATCTTTGCTATGTTGACTTGCATTTAGCCAAAATCCAACAAGAATAGATAATCAAAATAAAATCTGAGTGTATAAAGGTTAAATATAGTATACTGGCCAAAGCAGCACAACAACTAGAGGAAAAAGACTGTTATGTTTCAAGGCTTGCATCTGAATTATTGGTCTGCACAACAACAAAAAGAAACCCTTCTGATTATTTTTGCAGAGTGGATCTGTCTCAAAATGTTTGTTGTCAGATCACAACAGTCTGTTTTTCTGCTCAACTCTCCCCTTTTCTCTTTCTCTGAAAGTGTCAAGAGAGAATATGCATTGGACTTCATAAACCTCCCTGTCAAAGATTTTACCAAAATCAGTATGTCTCCATAAAATGTGTCAGCATGTGTGATGAAACAGTGTATTTTGATGAACACAGATTTTGTTAGAAATGTACTCACCACCTGTAATCAACAGTATTTTTGCATCATATCTTCTGGAGCAGTAATGCCTGTGTAGTAGCAAATAAGCTGTGAGTGAAATCCTCACCCCCTGCAGGTGAGGCACATACAACGAGTATGTAAGAGATTTTAAGTGCCTATTGTGTAGAACTCTATGTTGTAGCTGCAAGTGAATAAGATGCTGTGATACTTAAGTTACATGTGATCCATGTAGGTACAAAGCCCAAACACAATTAGGAAACCTAGTCATTTGGGGCATTTCTCAGGGAAATCACCTCAGATTGATTTTGTTGGCAATTTCAATACAGAAGGGAAGAAGGGAGCAAGTTAGCTCATTCTTATATACAGGTAAGGACTGAGACATATTAGTGCTGAAAGCATCGGGTATTTAGCAGTATTAAAACCCAGCTGTCCGCGTCTTTAAAAGGATGTCTGTAAGCCACGCTTCACAAGTACTTAATTTTCACACTAAAATCCAGATCCAAATCCACTCTTCATCAACTGCCTTCACGTTAAAGTCCCGTGACCAGTTGGACCAGACCAGATGGATCAGTTTTGCTACAAAAACAATAGCAGAATTGTCTTCAAGTTAGTAATATCATAATATTTCTCAGAGGTTTGTGTCACAACAGCCAGCTTGTACAGTCATATTCCAGCCAGCTGGGATGGAAGCGCAACTAAATCCCGGAGATCCTGGTCCCACAGGTGTCCATAGGAGTTTGACTTCTGTGGGGACAGAACTTGAACTTTGCTTTCGCTCAGGAGCTCTGGTTCATCCTAAGTGCCAAGTACCCGAAATGCTAGATGCCCCCAACATTTCCCAGCAAGTATCAGGGTTCTTAAGAGACCCCAATCCCACCTAGAGCCCTCAAAACTTTCAGGTTTTCAAGCCAGTTGTTTCTGCCTGCTGTTCAGTTCTCAGGGAAGCTAACTTACAAAGTATTGGGATTAGGCAGCCTCAGGGAGCACCTAACATCTCAAAGCGCTGATCTCCCAGGCTGGGGTGGTGTGAAGATACGTATTAATGCCATAATCTTGAAAAACTTGACATCCTGATTCTCAGGTAGGTTGTCAAGGAGTAAAGTACTCAAGCTAGCAAGAACCAAGACAAACAAACGCCTATCAGAAATTGCCTGGAGAGCAAGTTTTGAAACTACTTTGTATCTGTCAGTAGACTCATTCACAAAGTGCTTTGCTTTACACGAATCACCATTTTCTGGCAGAAGAGCTTCTGACAAGCACTAGTTTTCACAGCTACCTGGAAAGTTGCTGGTGTCAGCTATTCTCATAGACAGGGTGATGGACTAGTCCCATCCAGTCTGGAAAACCCCATGATCGACTCTTTCCATATCTAGAAAATGGAGATATAAAAAACCCAATTACTTGCTTTATAGATATGGTGGAAAGTTTCATTTCTTCCTACAATGTGCTTTGAAATTCTCAGATGAAAGACTTGGTGAAAGTACAAAGTATTCAAACAACATCTTAATAGAGCCCTTGCTAAAAAAAGAAAAACAACAAACAGAAACATAGGTACCAAAGAGCTTATTAAGAAACTAGTTGTATTTACTGATGTGGTTTTTAGGAAGCAGTTACAGGAACAATACAAAATCAGCAGATAAGATTAGAATTTGATCTGCAGCTGTCTTGATGTCCCATGTTTAAGTTAAAGGAAGCGTTGCTTACTACTAGTGGGGTTTATACTTTGTCCAGAAAAGTTGGCTCACTAATACAGAAGATCATTTTCAATTTCTAGGGCAGTGTTCTCCTGGGCACTATTCTTCAGATGGTTTTAAACCTTGTAGAGTCTGTCCTCTGGGTACATACCAGCCTGAACCAGGAAGGACCCTCTGCTTTCTGTGTGGCGGTGGGCTTGTGACCAAGTATGAAGGTGCTGTTTCCTTTCAAGACTGTGAAACAAAAGGTGAATTTAAAATCTTTCCATGATTCATATTTCTGCTGCTTGCCCTTTTGTTTGTAATCTTCAATGCCAAGGGGCTTTGAAAGGCTCCAAAACAAACATAGTCACTGCACGTGGCAACACAGTGTGTTACACAACACACTAAATTAAATGGTCAGGAAATCTGTAAACTAGGAACGATGTCCCGAGGTTGCGGAGACTGAATAGGCTTTATGGTTTTCTTTGGAATTTACCACAGGCAGGTACAGAGGCAGCGCCGCCACTGATAAGTCAATCAGCCCCACTGCGTGGCAAGAAATAAGAAAAACTTGCATTAGGCAATGCTTTAGCCTTCATGTCCTGTATGTTTTTATTTACCAAATTAGAAAAACTAAACGCTACAGAAATTATGTGAAGTTAAGGATTGATTATTAATGGCCTAGGCAGAAACTGTAAGCGTGAAACACGTGTGTTCCATAACGTCAACTTCCAGTACAAATGCTGAAGAAGGAATCTGCCCAAATGCATTTTGGTTTAGTTGCTGGAATGACATGCTGGCCCTGGCAAACAGACACTAATGGAAACCTCTCTCCTGCTATTGTGAAAGGCATTTTTATTGTTGAGGTAGATATATATCAGCTTCCACTTATTACAAACTCATTGGAAACCACTGTATTAAATACAGTGAGAGGCACATGTAGCACGTGTTACTAGTTCGTAAGGGTTTAGCTCTAGTCGTTAGAACAATTCTAGTTAGAAGGTCCTTTGTAACGGGAAATACAGGGAGCTAGTGTCTTTTTTGCCTTTTATGGCCTAATAAGTATATTGCAGAATGGGGATCGTGAGGTATGTCCAGGGTAGAGAAAAGCTCTCTCTGCACTGAAGATTGCTACTTTCTGAAAATAATACACCTCATACCTTACAGTTCATTGTTCTCCTGGACACTACTACAACTCCACAACACACAGATGTATCCGATGCCCTGTGGGAACATACCAGCCTGAGTTTGGTCAAAACTACTGCATCACCTGCCCTGGGAACACAAGTACAGATTTTGATGGCTCCACTAACGTTACGCACTGCAAAAGTAAGTTGCATTTATATGAGTTGTGAGATGAAACGTATCTTCAGATCTGAACTGCAGCTTGAAGGTTCCATCTGTCGGGCTGGAATTCAATTCTGTATTGCCTAGTTAGCATATATCTACTGCCAGAGGGAACAGCAAAAATTGGGAAAACAATGAGAAAAAAGCCTGGAAAAGTACCACTTGATGCATATGATGGTTTTAGCTTTAATGTAATTTGGCAGAGTGCCAGCTACAAGTTAAAACTACACAGCTTTTGGTTTCCCAGATCCTGCAAGTTGCCTTCAGTGACACATATTCCTCTGTGTCTCTGTAGAGCACAATATCTTCTATCAGAGAAACTGCCATTTTATAATAATTATAAAATACTTGGAGATATGGTCACGCACACTGCAATTGCCAGGTAATCGCTCATGACAGTGAAATCTTCTCATAGGCTTTTTTGCAGTACTCAGCCTCCTATCTTCAATTACCATTTTAAATATCCCCAAGGATTCCAGTCCAATTTTATTTGATCTTTTGTGAACGACTGATTCTTTTAGGCAAGCAATTTTTTTCATCTCTACTATGCTAATTTGAGAGAACGTCTCTACAATAATTAGGTAATGTCATCTAAACTAACTATTCATGTGCAAATCTATCGTAAGTTTTGATTCTGATTATGTGCCATGTGTCTTTGAAGCCCTTCATCATTTCTAATGTAATTTGGGTAAATTAGATATTTGTAGGGAATTTGAAGAAGTTTGATGATTTTCCTATAAAATAAAACCATCCTTGTCACTTTGCTGTCTTAGATACTCCCCGTTTTCAAGCCAGTTTCTGACCTTGCACAATCTTTGAGGCTTGGATTAAGCAAACTATTTAGACATATATCTAGTCTTATGTGGGTGAGTAGGCCTGCAGAGATGAAGCTTAAGTCACTTACTGAATCAGGCTTCCGTGGCAAATTCAATAGGAGTTTTGAAAACTCTGAAAGTAAAACTGATCCATCAATGGAGATTCTTTATTAACTGGTTTAATCTAAGATAAAGCAAGGCAGATCTGTAATCAAGATAAGGCTGGCTATTAGGATCATCACACTCATTCAGCTAAATCAGGTTAAAAAACAAGTGAAGTTAAACCAGAATACCTTCTGCATGTCAGCATGGTCTCAGTGGTAACCGCTGTGTGAGTACCTCCACAGTGGGGTCATATTTACTTAGCTGCGTTCGTTTCTTAATCAAATGTTAAAGCAGCCTGAATGAAGCATTGAATCAGTTTATACACCAGAGATTAAGGTTTCGCAAATCAGTTGGAGCAGCCCTGCAGATCAAGTATTCCTTTAAAGGCTTTCCATGCTAAACAAAGAGGCAGCTGGAGAATGTATGCATTTCTAAAGCCACAAGGAGGAGTTTAGACTTGCTCTTGACAGATCTAGAAGAACACCTCAAATTAGCTAATCAGCTAACACAAATGCTAATTTATGTTTCTCCACAGACCAGCACTGTGGAGGAGAACTTGGGGATTATACTGGCTACATTGAATCGCCCAACTATCCTGGAGACTACCCAGCTAATGTTGAATGCATTTGGAATATAAATCCACCCCCAAAGAGGAGAATACTCATCGTAGTACCTGAGATATTTCTCCCAATTGAAGATGAATGCGGTGATGTTTTAGTAATGAGAAAAAGTGGTAAGTTGCCAGACATGGGTTATATAAACATTTATTGCAAACTGACTGAGTGCAAAGTTCGTATTGAAGGGACGACTGTCTTCATCTATCCGGTGTTTCTAAAAGGATTGTTGAATGAACTGGCACAGCAAGTTAAAACAGAACACTGTACCAATAACAACCAACAGAGTGATATTAATTATTCAAGTGTCTTGGCTGAATCACAAAGCAGTTAATGGGCTTCTGTCTGGCCCAATTATCACGTGGGATAAATCACTGCTACTCTAGAAGTCAACAAAGCTATGTTAGGTTATACTGGGAGAGCTATCTCCTGTCATCTGTACAAATTTGTGCTCTCACTTGTCCTTTGCAAGTATATATATGCTGCAGTTATTGCTAAATCTGTGCGGTGACGCAGGTTGGTACACCTGACACCCTCAAGAAATCCAAAGTTCTCCCGATTTTATGTGGAGTGGGGGGTGTGTTGTGTCTTTGATTGTGAAGTTAATTCAATAACTTCTGAAGTTAAGACACTAATGAGATGCACTCCTCCTTCAGTCCTATGTAGGCATCCAGCTTCTGGTGATCTGTTGCTAAATCTCCAAGAAGCACCAAACCTGAAAGGCAATTTTTTATATGGAGCTTTGTTTAAAACAGCGTATTTTACTTGCTAAAACAGTGTATTTTATTTGCTGAAACAATTTTCACAACTTTTTATCCTTGAGGGCTTGTGTTGACATCTCTATATATCAGAAGAAGAAACCTGCTCACTGTAGATGGAAGGAAATTATATCTGTCCAGATCAGTTTTTTAAAAGCAAAGCACTTACTGTAGCAAAACAAATCAGTTGTCCTTCTAATCCCAAACTGTGGTTCCAACAGTGAGTAAAGCCAGGCACATCAGGGAAAAGTTTGACTTCCACTTCAGTACCAATAAAGGTACCAAAACAACGATGACACTGGAAAATGAGGGCAGTTTTTCAGAGTCGTGCTTTGCGATCACTGTATGTTTGGCATCATAAGAGTAGATCTTATGAATATTTATCATAGTTCGTGTACAGTCAGCTGCTAACGTTACTGTGGAAAAACTGATGGCAGTTCCAGAGTTACAGTTAGATCCACTTTTTTGCACTTCAAATCCAAATCCCATTCAATTCCAAAGGTCTCTTTTTGCTAACGTTGGTGAAAGTTGAATCAGCCCTAGCACGTTCAGATTTTAGGTTACACTTGTTATTTTCCCTAATTATCCTGTGGCTATGGAGTGGGGTTTTTGAACTAGGTAAGAAGCTATTTTTTCCTTTCGTTTGAAATTCGTTTCAACTTAGAGGAGCCTCATGATACATTCATAATGATTTGAAGACATCCTGCACCCTCCATCTGTTACTTATGTTAGGGGCAAATGGGGGTCTTTCTGGTTCCCAGCTATTAGCTTTGTTTCAGTATAGATAAATGACATTTTCTTTTCAAACCTACAACCACGTGTTTTGCACTGGGAGGTGCTGGTCCATTATGATCCCAGTAAGAAAGGCACTGAGGCTCTGTAAGGTATCATTTAAAATGCTATTTATTAGAGCTATCATTGTAAGGAGAGAATAGTATAGATAATCTTACATCCCTTTAGATGGTGGGAACGATAGGCGGCGTAGCATCGAATGGGCCTCTGATCCACGCGCAGCATGCTGGGCAGACCCTGCCCATAGAAGAGATTTTGCCCTTTCAGTCATTCAAGCTATTACAGGATTTTCTTACAAGGAAACAACTCGATTTATCATTTCTACTGTCAAACAGAAACAATGTTCTCATGAGCACTTCTTGCTGCACTTTTAGATAAAGGCAAGGCCACGCAGTAGCGTAACTGCCGCACCAAGTGGAAGTTGCCTGCAAGTTCCTCTCGTTACAACGAGCTGGCCGAGGTTATCTTGCAGCCATGGGACTTGTGCAGCACAACACAGGCCTGAAGGCCACGCTGGACGCGCAGCACAGCACAGGCCTGGCCATACCCAGGTTAACTGTTCTGTGGATCACTAACTCCTCGTGTGTGATGGTCTTTTGGTCAGATAAGTGGTTTATTGCTATCAGATGAACTCCCCAAACTGGGTGTGTCAGGAGCCGGTTACCACATCTGCCTGGGGTGCAGCTGACTTGTTCTGACCTATCTGGGCCCAGCACTTGGGAACCCTGGAATTCAATGCTAGAGCAGTACACAAAATAAGTAATATTGATAGTAATGTTATAAATGTCAAAAATTATCTCTGGCACCTCACTGTCTACTTAAGCTTCTTGCTGTGGGACAGAGGGGTTCCCATTACCTTTGTGGAAAAACTTACTTCTCCTTATAGACAGATAAAGACTACATCCCTTCTATCACAAAAAAACTTCCGTTCTCAGGAATACGTCAGCTGAGAAGTGTCTTGGCAATTTGACATTTCTGACCTCTAGATGAGGAATGGTGCAAAAAGTTATTTTATAAAGAACATTTCTTTATTTAACCTTCTTTCTAGCTTCTCCTACTTCAATTACTACGTATGAAACATGTCAGACTTACGAGAGACCTATTGCATTTACCTCAAGATCGAGGAAGCTGTGGATTCAGTTCAAGTCAAATGAAGGAAACAGTGGCAAGGGATTTCAGGTCCCCTATGTAACTTACGACGGTGAGAATGGGATTGTTTTCCACCTTTGTGTTATATCTGAATTACAGAAAATTGTCCTTTAGAATCTCTCTTATGCTGATGACAGGGAGAGAAGAATGAGGAAAAACTTGATGTAACTCATTTTTATTCCAGTGAATTACTTTAAAACCAGTTGCAAAGATTTTGAAATAATACCTAATTTTATTTTTATTACTTTTTCTAATACTTTAAGGATGGACAGCGAGTTACACAGAATTCTTTAAACTTAATCCTTATCCCACTGAATTCAACAAGACTCCTTTTAATTGGCATTTATCATATGCATAATGAGAATACCATTAATTGCTGTACATTTTAGGAAGTGCCTTCATCAAGTCCTACTGGTAACCCACACAATTTTGAAAATTATAAATTAATAAAATCACAAGTCCCAACAGAGAAAAACAATGATGCAAAAAGAAATATCCTTTCAGTAACCACTTTCATAAATCCACATTTTAAAAGAGTCTGGCTTGTGATATAAATTATGCATTAAACTGTATATTTTGGACTTTGAGATTATTTCTGTTGTAAGGAAACAAAGACTTTTCTGTGATACCTTTGGCAGCTGTTTTTGTGCAATTTTGCGAATGATGAGAAAATCTGTATTAAGCTGGTCATTCAGGAATCAAAAGAGCTGTTCTCAGGGCAGAAAACGAGGATCTGTTCCTGTCTGTGCTGCTGACTTGATGTATAACCTTTGACAGTTATTTCATATCCCTGGTCCTGTTTCTTCATCTCTAGAATGCAGATAATAAAGCATTATTATCTGGAGGGAGTAGTTTTCGGGGGCTGTTACTATTTATATGAAAAATTCAAAATTACTGTTCTAAAGCACTACAGAATTTTAATGTGATTAGATTAGACTACAGCAGCTTGAGAGACACTGAATAATTAACTGGATATTAAATTTCTCAGCTCTGTCCTGAAGAGGAGGTCTAGCTAATGTCTGGCTATTATCCTCCCAAAGGACGTCACGAACAGTCACTCAACTGATCTTTACTTTGCAGAGGATTACCAACAACTAATAGAAGACATTGTTCGAGATGGACGATTATATGCATCAGAAAATCATCAAGAAATCCTAAAGGTAAGAAAATTCTGCTTTATCTGAGGCTAACCAAGAATTCCTTTTACTAAATATTTTCCCAAGATAGTTCTCATTACCCTGATAGGGTCATAATATTTAAACCTCAAGTGTGACCCCAAATTAAATTCTGTGTCTTCTGAGGTTTGTTGCTGGCATTTGGAGCAGCACAAAATCAGTAGCTCAGCTGGGCAGAGCATGTGCGTACATCCTTTGCTGAATCAGGAACTAAATGAAATGTATGCTAACATGATTGTATGTTAGAAAAATTAGTCAACCAAGAATGAAGAACCTATTGTTTGAAGAGCCTTCTTCAGCCTCAGTCTGGTATGTGTTTAAATGAGTCATTAAGTTAGAATTTCCTGTGCATTAAAAAAATGTATTTACCTAAATCACTGTCCTGCCTCACCAAGACATAACCATAGTGTAGCATTGTAAGCTGTCCATGAAATGGTTTTCCAAAGACACAAGCAACACATTGGAGAGAGTTGTGGAGGAAGGCTGCTGGGCTGCCACCTATAACAACTAACTAATTAAAACTGAAAAAAGGCTGTTCAGAAGGCAAAATTCAGCCGTGTAAATGTACAGCTTGGAAGGACAGGAACTGATTAACAGCCAGCTCCCCTGGCCATCCCTGCCCCAGCCCTGCCAGTATTCTCTCACTAGAGCTTCGAGATCGCTCAGGTCCCAGCTGCAGTGCATACAGTCAGGCACAGGCTCAGTTGAGGCTCTGAATCAAGACTTTACCAAGGTACAGGAGAAGGTCCTTAAAGAGCTCAGCATCACTGAGGGAACAGCCTTCTCTCTTGTTCACCGAGGGAAGGCCCTGGATGACGGCGTGAAACAGGCTGGAAGGGCAGTCAGCGGCAGTTTGCAATTCTAATGCCTAACTTCTGCAGCCAGTTTGTGGTTACCCCAGCTGCTACCCTCTCAGTTCAGGACCTTCCAGGAACGCTAATGGCAACAAAACGTCCGGCACAGTAGAAAGATTCATCAGTCTAAAACTCCACAGCAACACGGAGCAGTTTGTATGTAAGCCCAGTATGTCTGGGCTTTCCCCAGAATCAAGTTTTGCAGAAAAAACCCTGATTGTTGTTTGTTAATTTTGAAAGCTGTGCAGACACTAAATTCAAACGCTATTTTTTTCTAATATATGTGTTGTCTCCCATAGGACAAGAAACTGATTAAAGCTCTCTTTGATGTACTGGCACACCCACAAAACTATTTCAAGTACACAGCACAAGAGTCAAAAGAGATGTTTCCAAGATCATTTATAAAGCTACTGCGATCAAAAGTTTCCAGATTTCTACGACCATACAAATAGTCTAGCGGTATTCAATTTTTGGTTACTTCGCATTCCTGTCAAATATTGTCTTTCCTCCATAGTAGAAACATTTGCTAATTTGAAGGCTCTTTTTTGCAGTCTTTTGTTTTCAATTGTATATTGAAGAATACCTATAATGTTTTATAATCGTTAAAAGCCAATGTTCTGAATGGGATTTTTACTACAAAAAAAATTGTGCGTCCCTGAGTGCATCTAGTTGAAGATCCAAATTTGTGTCTGCACTAGTGTATTTTCACTTTCCATTTTGAAATTACATTACGTAGAAAATATTCTTTCTAGCTTTTTATTTTTCATCAACAATAACTTCCGTCAAAGCAAAGAAGGAATCTATTCATATCCGATTAAACTACCTGCAGATAAGTTCTGTTGTAGAAAGAAGTATGTAGTATAAATAATATTTGGATTTTGAATTGCACTTGAAGTTTATATTTGAATCTTTGGAAGAAAACAAAACAATGTAAATTTTGTTATTTCTCATTTGTGGCTTAGTGGAACCTCTGTCCAAGCTCATTTGTGGCTTAGTGGAACCTCTGTCAAAGTAGAAATCAAAAGGGAAAAAAAGAAGAAAGAAAAAAAAACCCAAACACCTGTAATCTTATTTTATGAATTACATAAGAACGAGTCCCATGCCCTAATGTCCGAATGTTTTTATCTGTCGTCTCCTAAACTTCTTCAGAGGTTTGCCGCTGTCAATTACTTCATTGAAACAGATTTCGCTCTGGATTTCCGTACACCAGTTGATCCCTTTGAAGGCATTTACAATAGGATAGGTGAGAAATGAACAACAACAACAGTAGTAGTCTTGTTTTTCTTTCCGTTAATAGAGCATCTAATTAAGTACAATATATAAATATATAAATATATACTTCTATTTATGGGTACATTAGTAATGTTATCTTTAGTTACTGTAAATATTATTCATGCTTAAATCTTTACTCCCACACACCCTATTTACTCGTATCTATTTGTAACTTTGCTTAGATGATTAAATGACTTCTCCAAGTGCTTGTCACTTCCGTTAACACCAAACTGAAGCCTTTTGGACTTTTATAATGTTGGATAATTGTTTACTCTGGGACAATCTCTTTCACCATACATTATTCCAGGAGAAATGACATCAGTTAAGATGCAACTGCTGTCCAGTAAAGGGTCGGCTATTGCCTCTTCCTTGGGCACCCCTCACATGCAGACCAACAGAGTTACCCCTGAGGACGACACACGTGAGAGAGGCTCACTAGGGAGGAATTTTTGTTGGATCTGCCACCTTTAAAACGCTGGGAACATACCTGTGTCACAGGCCCAGGCTCTAAGGGGGGTGAGGGGGTGAACAGGACACAGCTTTGCGGGTGAGTTGGAGGGCAGGTCCTGCAGTCTCCAGGGACCCGGCGCTCCCTTTTATCGCGAGTTTGCAACTGCAGTGCCCATCAACCACGGGGATTGTACGGTCTGCAAGAGAGCATTAGCCTCGTGGTCAGGCCTTCCTCACAGAGCGACAGGTACTGGTGGGTTAAGATGATGATAAATCCTGTGTCTCCTGCAGTTTCCTGGCACAGGAGCCCATTTCAATGAGAGAGTAGCTATTTTTGTTAGTATTTCAGCCGCTTTACTTTTAAGTCCCTTCCTCTTGTATATCATTTTCCCTTTTGATCCTACAAGTTTATTACATGGAGAAATCAACTACCACGCCAACATCCTTTCAGAAAAAGACGAAAATACAGTTTCGTTTCACTGCATTTTTTTTTGCATATCTACCCTGTAGTTTAGCATACCCTTGGATGCTCTCAAAGACATACATTAAGGGTGGTTACGGTTAACTTCTTACACTTTTTTTGTTTTTGAGCAAGTAATGTTTAAATTTACAAAGTTGTTTCCTGTTGGCTACAAGCGGTTGAATACTCCATTTCTAAGAGACACCTTAAGTATTCTTATGAGTTTTTCTACTTGGTCATGTTGTAATTTTGCTTGCCTTCTTTCCTTTTCTGTTGAAGAGCATAATTTTTTTCTTTCTGTGCCTGAACAGTTTTAACTTAGGGTCTAACGACTCAGTTTTTTAACTCACAGATCTTAGGTCTTTCGAGCTTTCTATACATATATATATATTTATATATTAACCCTCATTTCAAAACGTAACATCTCCATAAAAGTCCTTTTCTAAAGGCTGTTAAACCTAACTTTTTGTGAGGATGTTGAAACCACTTTTATTAAATATTCATTATGGGTTACTAAAGGTGGATATTTGAAGGAGAACATCTCATCAGTCCTAGATTCAGTGCATGCCTGGAACGAAAAAAAAGTTACGTGTATCTTTTTCCTTAACAGGAGTTATTTGTAGGAAAAAATTAAATCTTAAAAAAGCAAAAATCATTTTAGGTACTCAATAAGTGTATAGCTAAAAAACTACTTCAGCCGAACAGTATTTTAAAGTCTGATAGGTTATTCAGAATGATTAGAAATGGGTCAGGATTGCAGCCATCCTACTGACAGATACGATGGAAAAGATATGAAAGATATGGAGAAAAATAACTTCCTCATTTGCTGAACAATTTACAGTGATCTTTAGTATTTCAAACTTCAGTAAGCGAACTTTGGAACCTGATGCTGTGCAGTGAGGTTAGTAAAATCCTTGCTAAAATTTTTGCTTAACAACCCACACGTTTGGACATGATACCACTGTACGACACTGGTGCCAAGCAGGACAAACTTCCTCTCTGGAACAGGGCTGAAAGTAATTGCCTTACGAGTCCAGAAACCACTGGCAGCACCGTAACATTTTCCAGGTTCTTAACTACATGGGGAATCCAGTGCCAGACAGCGACTACGAGAGGGACGTGGCCCAGTTGTGGCCACTGTTAGTGGGACCTTGGTAGAGCTGTGAAAGGTGAATACAGGAGGAACTAGCTGCATTTAGTGCTGGTACAGCTTGCCCTGACTTACAACCACATTAGACAAAACCAGGGTTTTGTCTAGTTCATCCTGACAGACAACCTAAGAGCGCGTGTTAGCTCATATTCCCCGGAGCCATGTCAGGGCATGGACTCCACAGTCAGGACAGGGCGCTCGGGGACTTCTGTAGCAAATGCAGACTTTGCGTTGTTGAAAGCAGTGAAAGAAAGAGAATAATTTGGCCTTCAAAAGTATGCAGTGAAATGCTTCTGAATATATAGGGGTTTCGTATGTGACATACTTAGAAAATGAGTCAGGTTTGAATGTTTGCAGCTCTGCATAGAAATGCCCTTGGATGTGCAAATTTCTAATGAAATATAAGTAATGACAAGTATATAGGACTGTCTGAACCAATTTCAGCTGATTTGTATAACAGCACAGAATTTTTACATCAGCTCTAAAAGTTAAAAATACTTTGACTTTCATGCTGGATTTATAGTTACAGAAACTGGCGGTCACCAAATAGAGGGTGAGCTCAGCTCTTCATTTGTTAATGTAGGTGTAGGATGTCTTCATTGTCAGAAGTCAGAGAACATATTGCTACTATACAATAACAGTACAACAAGGAATGTCATCTTCTATGGAGAAGACCTAGACGCATTTGGGAATCAAAAAATATACGAGGAGAAATATGGCCGCCTTTAAGAAAACCAGCTTCATTAAATGAATCAATACATCACAGAATATAAAATTTTGGCTTTTACCCTAAACATGAAATATTGCCTTTAAACATATTCAATAAATACAGCCCTGTATCTGTTCTTATAGAATTACACATTGTACGCAGGATAGGTGCAACAACATGTTTACATGTTATTACAGCAAGGCCGAAGAAGTGTCCATTTGTGATTGCCCAATTCCACGTCACAACCCGAGCTTTTTATTTTCAATTTGCAAATGCCTGTGTGCCTAAAAGCTGCACCTGTAGCACTTACCATTCTAAGCCTCTCTTCCTGCTTTAAATACTGCACTTATTTTTGGTGAGGTGGTGGTGAATCATCCCTAAACATTCTTGTGTGCCACCAAATCACCACCTGCATACCTGCTGCAGTCCAGGAGACTGCAACAAGCAGAAGTTGCTAATCAAGCCCTAAGTCGTGCCGTGAAAGCGCTCGTTAGCGATTGCTGTGGGCAAGGTGCCTCTGTGTGTCATTTGAGTACAGGAAGCATCAGGATTGGGTGTCCAACAGATTGCCACCTGCATCTTGCCTGCAATAGCAAGATTTATTCTGCCTGAAGATTTAGCTCGCCAAAACTGGATTTAAAGCTGCTGAAGTCTTTTTTCAGCCCATTTTCTTGCCCTGCCTTCCTTCCTCCATCATACATTAGATTTTTACCTAAAGACCAACTTTTCAAAAGAAATTTATTTCCTCATTGTGCCTCCCCTATAGAATAAAGTTAAATCACAGTGTGTTATAACTACTGAAGATTTAGACTCATCAGCTTCATACTAAGGTAAGCTTACTTAAAAGTAAGTAAGCTTACTTAAAACTAGCTTACCTAGTAAGCTAGGTTTAGTTTAAGTTTAGTTTTGTTTTAGACTAGCTTAAATAAATACAGGCTTGGTCGCAGAGTTTTCAGAGAGTCTGCATTCTGAGTTGTCAGCTGGTTTTGAAAGAGCACAGCTCGCCTGTAGTCCTCTGTCTGTAAGCAGAACGCAAGGATGATGCCACATGAACAAGAAACATGCTTGCATGCATTAAACATTCAAAGGGGAAAGTCAAACCCCACCCCATGCCCCTTTGTAAGCGTGCCCAACAGATTCAAATTTCTCAGGTCAGTCTTATCTGTAAACAACCCAGTTTTAATCTTGTGGATATTGAGTTGCGAACATCAGGAGCAAAAGTAGTGGTACGATTCTTATACAGGAACTGCTGACAGGTCTTGGCCAGCAAAACCCAACTGCTTTGTGACAGTTCCCGTATCTGGACTCTAAATACCTTTGCGTGCTCTTAAAAAAGAAGCTGGAGTGAAATCTTCAACAACTGAATCCAGTGGCGAATTTCTCGGCCACCTCAGGGGTCTGGATTTTCCCTTTTCTAATGATGGGAATGAGCAACACGCAGTTACTTGTACCTGTGTCATGACCCTTTTCTAATGATGGGAATGAGCAACACACGCAGTTACTTGTACCTGTGTTCAAGTAGTTGCATTTTTTTCATAGTTTAAAACCACTGATTGACAGGAATGGTAGTAACTGGAGAAGTTCTATAGACTCTCAGTACTTCGAGAGTTTAATGAAATAGTTTTCTAGGATGAGAGACTGTTGTAAGCACTTGGGGGAAAAAAAAAAAAGACTTTTGTCTCCCATAAGAATTTATGGAAGAAGGGAAATTTCTGTAAGGTAATACGAACTTATTCCTCAGTGTGAGACT